CAAAATGAAAGAGGGGGGGGGGGGGGGCTCTGATATCTTTCAAACACAGCAAAGAATCCCAGAATCTTCTGTCACAGTGGCAACTTTGATCTTTTACAATAAAAAAAGTCAGCTGGACTATTGTTTTGGGGGGAGTGCAGCTTGTATTAATGCTAAATCATTCCATGCATGTCTAAATGGGCTTCTTCCTTTTTAAAAATCTATATACTACATATTGTGTTCATAGTAATGAACCTGTAGTGATCCTGTAGTGTTTGAAATAGACTGAAAATGAAAGTTGCACTTCTCATTCTTTCTCTTAAATAGTGGTCTATATTTTAAATACTAAAGTTACAGTCTGTGGTTCTTGTTAATGTCACCCCAAAGGGTATGTGAATTATCACAGAGTGACCCTTTTATAAACTTTATGTCACACTTAACCTTTTTTAAGGTCAATCTGATACTTGAAAGGATTGTGGTTTTCAGATAAGTTTAGGGCTAGAGACTGCCAGCTCTGTCCAGCTTCTATACTCTTTGTAATAGCAACTTCAGCAAATAATTGTTTCTTTTCATGCCATTAAACTCTTTGCTTAGAGATCTCTGAAAACTAAGGTGCAATAGCATCTTTTCAGTGAGTACCTCCTCAAGATGTGATAGTAGAACTGACAAAACATTAAACTTAGGACTAACCTAAAACTCATGGATTTCTATGAGTCTGCTCTAAGCATGACAAAATCTGGATTCAATCCAAAGAGGCATTCAAAATAGTTTCTAGCCTACTGATAGAATTCTCCACCAACTGGCAATTCCCATAACTTGCTTCTTCCTTCCCTGGCATCTTTCAAACGTTGAAAAGCCAAAGCGCGTTATTTTGAAACCCACATTACTGACATTGCTAGTAGATCAGAAACCTCTGCTCTTTTTTCATTATCCAGAAGGTGGTCTGTTTTCTACAGGGACGATTCTTCACCATACTCCTCGCCACCGCCACCACCACCCATGCCTATCACCCATTTTGGTGCTTAGCTTTCATTTCTATCTGCTGAAACCAGGGTTGAGAAAATACATGCAATCAGCCTTCTTTTACTCACTCCACAGGGGTTCAGTGTCTCATTCATACAGCTTCCAACATTCTAAAGTTTGCATATGCATTATTTTTAACCCATCTTCCTTCACTTCTCCTTCCCATAACCCCACTCTGCTCAGAATAGCATCTTTAATGTAGGTTAGCATGATGCACCTGGAAGAGCTTTTGAATAGAGGTCTGTTGGTGTTTTACTACCCTACTTCAACTGCAAAAGGGCTTGGCCATGCTGTTTCAAAGCTGTAGCACCAGTTTATGAAGTGCTGCCTCCAGGGGCATTTATTTGTGTATTTTACAAACAAACGTCTCTTACTGCTATCTCTCGTACAGCCACCAGCAGCCTTTCAGGGTTTTTGTTTTTCTGGTTGTTCTTTTACAAATTCACACAGAAATATAAACAAATACATGGGATGTTGGGAAAGAACACTGGCAAGTTACTTTATTTAATTTTTTATTTTTATTTTACAGTATTTCAAGATTTATAAGGCCACCCAATCCAGGCGGTGTGACTCTGGGTGGGATACAACATGAACACGCAACAACAATAATAAGAAACAACAAACAACAAAAAACCAAGCCATAAATACAGAAGCAAAAAGCTAAAATGTAAAATGGCAGCCAGGCACAGAACAAAACAAGCCTCAGAGGAGGGGACTCCCACTCAGCTGACCCCTGCCTGGGGGAAGAGCCAAATCCTAAGGTCTCTCCTCAAGGCAAGAAGCATTGGGGCCTGTCATATATTGGGGCGGGGGATTGTTCCAGAGAGAAGGGGCAACATGCTGACTGGGGAATTCTGGGAGTCGAAGTCCACACATCTTAAAGTTGCCAAGTTTGAAAAACACTGCTTTAGATGGTGGTTACTGAGACTATAAAATTATAAGAGTCCCTCTCTAAGCCATCTTGAGCTCTCAAAGGAAAGGCAGGATATAAAGGCAATAAAATAAAGCAAAAGGCAGCAATAATTTTTTAAAAAATAACGTGTCAGAGGGCAGAAATGAAAAGAAGCTTGTTCACGATTAAAACAAACAGATTATCTTTGTCATTGGAAAGGGGGTGAGCCAAATATGACTATCAAAGGAGTGACGCCCAGGGCACAGGTCTGAGAAAGTCTGATCTGTAGTAATAAATTATAATATAGGTCTGCCAAGATGCTCCAATCTATCATTATAAATCATAACCATATCCACAATTTAATCTCAGTAACTGGGGAGCAGAACTTCTCCTGAATATTTCATCAGTGGGAAGTATAGTGCTCACTGACCGCAAATGGAAAGTACAACATCTGGGTTTATGATGTTCAAAACGGGAGCCACCCTGGGTTTGAAATTTAAAAATCTCAGTTAAGGAGCAGGGGGAGTTTAAAAATGGTACCACCCATTTGCTGAGGTTCATCGGCCAACCTGTTAAGTAAATACGGCCTCTGAAGCAGGGACTTCTGGCCTCTAGGCCTCATGTGTCCCACCAGACTATCTCAAGGGGTGCACAATCTCTTCCCAGCTCAGTTTCCGAAGCTCCCACCTCCTCAGAGAAAAGAAAAAGAGGAGGAAGATGCCTTCCAAAGCCAACCTTAAGACAGGATCCCAATCCACCTGTCTTAGCCTGTCCTTCAGTATTCTTGACAGACGCCTGACCGAACGAAGATTCAGTAAGTAGCAGTAAGGCCTCCTTTCAGTCAAGCTCATCTCCTTGTGACTCCATTTCTGTGCACTTTTCCTGGCAACAGGAAGAAAGGGCTTTCTCATTCCCTTTTTTAGGGATTTTTTTTCCAACTTCCCTGTCCAGTGTGCAGCTCTGGGGTTTCCTAGTGGTCTCCCATCCAAGCTCCAACCAGGCCTGACCAGGTCAGCCAGATGTTGTCCCTTGTTTTGAGAGAGGCTGAGCAGGCTTCCTTTGCTGAAGAAAGGTGAGAAGTGAGCAAAGACAGCACGTCAAGTGCCGGACCACCGACCTCAGCTCAGTGGGTCTGAGTGTGAATTGCGGCGAGGCAACACCCGTTACCCACGAAAGGGAGGGACCCATCGATACAGCTCAGCCTCCTCATTTTCAGCGTTTGCAGCCGAAGTGTTAAGCCCAGGTAGGCTTGGAAACCGGGGAGGAGGCGGGGGGCGGTCCCTCCCTTGACATTTAAGCGAAGAAAGTTATAGGTACAGTACTTATTTCACTGAGAGGCATCAGGGAAGTGTTAAGATTTCTCCTACGTCACTCGGGAATTTCCCTGACGGTAACGGGTAAGCGGACGGGAGGAAGATCCTAGCTGCAGGACCCAGACGAGCGGCGCTCAGACACGGAACAGAAATACCTCCAGACAAGACGGAGGCTGCAGCCTGAAGGAGAAGCAGTTCCGCAGACGCGACCCTCTCTCGGGCAGAACCTCAGCCGGAGGCGCTCCCACCATGGCCGGTAAGCGCTCGGAGCGCGCGGTCGGGCTCTCGCGGCTCCCGGTTAGCCAGGCGGCCCGCGCCTTCTGCTCGGCACGGGCGGGCTGGAGAGGGGAGCCGAGAGCAAGGCTGGGCGGCTTCAGGGTCTCTGCGTTTTGGTGGCCTCCCTGTGTCAGCAGTTCCTCTCCAGTCCCTCTGGACTGAGTCTCCGGGGCCAGGGACAGTATTTTCTTTCCTGGTAGGAGAGTTGGGCAGAAAACGACGTCTTGAGACTTAGGGGTTGTATACAGATACAGGGGTTATACGGTATTGACAAATATCTCGCTTGCTTCTTGATCCTTTCCCTTTCTTGCAGGAGCTAAAGGCTAAGGGAGGTGATGGTGGATGGTAGATTAATCATCTGAAATTTTTCCTGGTGTGGAAGTAAAAGTAGCTGGAGAAAAGTTTTGAGGGTGCGATGCCAGGTTTTTGTGAACCATCTCGATGCAGGGAAAATAAAAACAAAATAACAGAGTCAGAATCCTAAATGGTGGACCTCTAGGGGCCATTGAAGATTTGAATCTCTGCTCTGAAGAGCAGCGAGTTGCCTTAGATAAGGCCCTTTTTAAAATTTGCCCTGTATCGGTTCTTCCAAGCTAAAATGTTACTTTCAGTGGCTTGGAAGAAGAATAGGGTTCAGATGTACAGTAATTGATGAAATAGTAGAATTGGTACTACTGATTAAGTCAGTTGATATTTGCGAGTTGTATCTTTCTGAGAAGTATCCGTGCTGTTTTCCTGCAGTGAAAGAGAAGGCCTTGTGGCACCTTCAAATCCATTATAGCCAAAGTTTGTGTCTTTTGTCTAAAGCTAGTCTTTAAAATCTCACAAGTCTCTTTGCTTTGGCGTTCGATTGATCTTTAGGGTACTTCTAGTTTGCAGCTGAAGCTTTATGTCTCTACTATAATAGGTAACTTTCAGGCATTGAAGTCATTTTCTCACTGGCAGCCTCAACTTTTCTGAGTAAGAACTGCTGTGAACAAATGTGCTTAAATAACTGTATGTCAAGGTGAGGTAGAGAGGAACTGGAATGATAAAATCCAAGTTCATAATTAATGTGGGTTTTTTAATAAGAATTATAGCAAGTATTTGTTGACATCTCACTTGTTGCCATTAAACTTTGGAACTTGCTGAACACTGTCTCGCCACACCTCTCTGTTCTTGCTACGGAAATCTGAACAGTGTTCAAACAGTTTGGGGGCACTGTTTGGGTACCAAACAGTGGGTGTACCCTGTAGTTACTGCTTGATTTCAGCTGTTGCCATCTTGAATGGCCTCTTTAATTTGCAGTATAACCTCAGATGTGAAGGGGAGGGGCAGAGAAGATTGGGAAACTGGACAGAATTCATCTCAGTTTCATATGTGTATTCAAATAACCATCACTGATTCCAAGTGGATTAACTTCCACATAAGCACTGTAAGGATTTCTTTATATATACAGATGAAAACAGTGCAGAGGATTTCAGTCTGAACTTCTAATGGAGATCCACAGCTAGGCTTCATTTTGTTTTGAAGGGGTGAACTGTGCCTAGTTTCTGAAAATCAAAATCTTCCACTTATCAATATTGAATCCTTATTCTTTATAATGTTTTTGCTGGAAACAGCTATTAATGACATCATATTTTGGAATTGTTTTTAATGTTATTAACTACATCGAATTTTCTTTACTTGCTAGCTTCAAAGTTATTTGAAAGTTACAAAGTAGTTTGTAACTATTGTAATATATTATGGTTGACTATTAGAATGTAGGTGTGCTGTGTAGTACAGTACCATTGTGACTACTAAATAGTAGTTGCTGGAAGAGCTTTTTATTGTGAGAATACCTAGGTGAGAATATAACATTGCTTAAAAATATTTTATCTCTTACAGTTGTTGTGAGTGTATACCATAATACTTTGTATATGAAAGGTACTATATAAATTATTACATTCTACAGAGCTTGAGGCATAAAAATCTACATTTAAGTCTTGTATTTTTTAATCATTGTACTTGGAATTTCACACAATAACACAGAACATACCTTTTAGATTTCTGTTGCCAGTGTCATTTTGTGAGACCACTTGTATAGTGAAATATTGATTTTTAGGCCTTTTGGTTTTGATATGGAACAATAGAAAATATTTTCAAGGATACTATGAAATGTACCACACTGGGAAAGTTTATACTAATATATTTCTGCTTAATATACCAAGCTATGAATGAACCTTTCACTTACACACTTTTACTTCTCTCTTTTCTTGAGCAAACAAAAAAACCAGGAAGTCTTCAGTTAAATACAGTTTCCTGTTTTGTCCAGATTGGTGACACTGTTTTACTTATTATTTATTTAAATATTTAATATTCGTTATCTCAATACATGTCAGGGTAGAATGTAATCAGTAAAACAATGCAATGATCTATTAATACTCTTTAAATATAATCAGAAGATTGACTTGCCATATCTTCAGTTGATGTTGAACTTAAACTAATGGTACCATCCGTGTATTGGGCATTTTCAACTTGTAGACTCACCCTCTAATTGACAAAATATATTTTAAAACGTAGAAGGAGAAATATTTTTTTCAGGCATTCTCTGAAGTTGCATATGTGGACATTTCAAAACCAGTGTAGGAAAGGATGGATCTTCTCTATTGAACATGACCATGCTGAAGAGCATAATAAATGTGAAGAGAAGTAAAAATACTTAGAGCAAGTATAGTAGAAGAAACCAAGGTAGCCAAAATCTTTTAAAATGCCTTAATAGATTTTTTTTTTAAGTCAGAACTTACCCAAAATGCTTTGAATTCCTTGCTTACTATGCCCTGCTGGTCTCACTTCAGCAAGTTGCCATGAACCCTTTGCAAGGCACCACAAATGAGAGAAAGATTATACCATTTTACATAAGGAACTAAGCTTTCTCTCTGCATATGTAGGGCACCATGAATCTCCCTGGGCAAAGGCAATGCATGAAAAGAAAAGGGAGCTTCTAGCCCTGAGATTGTGGCTAGGGGACTGAGGGTTTGAGGAAGGAAAAGAGAAGGTAGTAGAGTGTTGAGCTAATAGCAGGCTAATGTCAACAAAAATAAAAGACTCACCAACATGAATAAACAGCAAAATATCTGACTTCTATTTCAGCAAGCAGGTGCCATTTAGAGGCGCCAGACTTGCCTTCCTTATAATATCAAGGCTTTCCTGGAAGCCAGAGGTACAATTTCCTTGAAAGGAGAAGCTGTAAAGCTGAATTAATATTAATAATAGGTTTCTACCTTCTCTCCTAAGCAGCTGTATTTCTTTTCCTTCTGCCTTTTATGCACTTTTATCAATTGCATTTATATTCTGCCTTTTCTATGGGAGCTCAGGGAGCTATATGGGGATCAGCTTTTCCCCACAAAAACCATGTGAGTTAGATTGGGTTGAGTGACTGTGGCTGGCCTAAAATCATTGATTGAGCTCTGTGATCAACTGGGAACTTGAATATGGCACTATGTTATATGGATTCTAAGAGTCTTAGGCTTGGTTGACACATTGCACTAAGCTGGAGGTTGAGTCATGGCAACTGGACTTTTTGGTTTGATACGTTTCACTGCTTGTCCAAGCAGCTTCTTCAGCATAGAAATGCAGCCACCCTGGAAGACA